CGTCTTAGCATAGCCAATAAAACAACAGTAAGTAAACCTCTTTCTAGTATTCTTTAATGATATTCTTTGTCCCATGTCCTCTTCAGAATCTGACTTGAATCTCTGGCAGCTCCCTGTCAAAGCACTGCTGCAAACTTTTGTTGGATGGTCTTCAGCAAAATTTTACTTGCATGTGTTATTAATGCTAATGTTCTATAATTTGCACACTATGGATCTCTTGCAGTCAGTTGGCCTAGTAGGTGACTTCCAAATTTCCTAGTAGAGGAGTACGTGTTCCCAGTGCTTCACCAGCTTGTTGAAACCATTCAATTGGAATTCCATTGATTCTTGGAGCTCATGCTTTCAGTGCAACTTGAACATTTTCTTCCACAACATTGGTTCTGCTCATATGTTACCTCCTGGTGCAAAGTTGACTAGTTCTTATTAGTACAGTGACTCTCTGTATTTTTCCATCTTCTTTTGATGCTTCCTGAATCATTCAATATTTTGTTAATAGAATCTTTCAATACTGCTTCTTAAGGCTTGAATTTTGTCTTGAATTCATTCTGTTTATGATATGAATGGGTATGTTCTTCCTCTATGATTTTCTGCCTCTAGGTCTTTTCACATTTCATTATATTTTACTTTGTTTTCTCAAACTGCCTTTTGAGATTTTCTATTTATTCTATTTGCATTATGTACTTTACCACTAAGCACAAGTTTCAGAGTCTCTTCCAACATCCATTTTGAGCTTTTACTTCTTTCTTATCTTTTGTCTAACCTTTTCCTTTCTTCATGAATAATATTATTGATGTCCTCCCACAGCTCATCAGATCTTCTCTCATTAGTGTCCAGCAGGTCAATTTTCCCTCTTCACCAGGCTATTAATGAAACTATTAAAATTTTTGTCCCCTAATGACTGTGGACACAAGTTGTAGGTAGTGTTACACGGTCTCTTGTAGTTTATAAGACTTATAGAATAATCTCATGAAGATAATTTTTATGGAATTTCAATTCATTTTATGATTGAAAACAATGTGTGTGACACAAACATATACATCATGTAGATATATTGCATTAAAATGATTTATTAAAGAATCTGGTGTAGTAGGTTACATATTGGGCCTGCATGTGCAGTGTATAGTCAATCCATGTGCAGTGTGTAGTCAATCCATGTGATAAAGATGACATCTTTAAGAGTTACACTCTCAGAACCACACAGTGGTAGCTCTACAGAAATAGAAAATCCTATCTTTCTCCCACGGAGTGCCTGCTAGTTTCAAACTGCTGACCCTTCAAATTTCAGCTCACTACATAACCAGTACACTTCCAGGGTCCTGTAATGTTGTGTGTGTCCTGATTATTTTTTCACTGGATTTACTGAGCTAAAATCCTCTCTCCTTATTATCTGTGTTACCTCTGCTGACTTGTTTAACCTCCTCTGTCCTTGGTCTCCTCATCTGTAACTGCCTTTATGTTCAATACATCAATGCAGGGTAAAGGGTAATGATAGTTGAGTGGCAGTCCTCTGGCCTTCCACAGGGAAGATAAGGGTTCAATTTCCAGACAATACACCTCTTACCTCGTCACCACAGTTCTGTCACTGCAGGCCCATGCATTGTTCTGATACTGAGATCTGTAGGTCTCGGTAGAGCTACAGATTAGGAAGACATGCCTTTCAATCTGCTTCTAGAACTAGAAAGCCCTATGGATCACAATGGTCTGATTCACAGCTAATCATACAGATGACCCAGGTCCAGGTAATGCTATCTTCTGTTCCCTATGGAGTAGGTGTGAGTTGAGGGCCAACCGGTTAATTCTTATTAACTACAACATTATATATATTAATAGATAAATCACAATAACACCCGTGTTAGTCCAGGTAGACTAGAGAAACAAACTCATGAATGCTCATATGTGTATAAGAAAGAGGTTTATATATAAGAACGGTTGAATATTGAGAAAATATCCCAGCCCAGTCCAGTCTAATATTAGTCTGATATTAGACCATCTGTCCAACACCAACCTATAACGTCCTCTTCAGATGCACGAAACACATGCAAGGACGCCAAATGCAGGATGATCACAGGTCATAGGTTAGAAAGTTTTTGGATCCAGTGGTGTTTTAAGCATCTTAGTGCTGGCAGGGGTCTCTATGTGGCTTCTCTGACCTCAGAGTTCTGGTTGCATCAGGGTAGGTCCATGTGGCTTCTCCTCAGGGTTGTCTCACAGGAAGTGAGCAGAGCGAGAGAAGTGTCCTCCACCCCCAAGCAGGAAATCAGGAATTCCCAGAATCCTCAGGAGAAGGCCAGGCCCACACAGAGGCCTCATTGTCCATGATATGATTGACAAGCTAGACTCCATCTCTACACGCTTAATCCTCAAATTGACAAAGGATTATATAACTACCACAATCCGTAACACCCACTCAATGTTGGCGACTATAATTTTTCACTAGTACAACTTCTATTTGATATTGTTAGGTGCCTTTGAGTGGGTTCTGTCTCTTAGCCACTAAATATATAGCAAACCAAAACACTGCCTGGTCCTACACTGTCCTCACAATCATTGCTACAGCTGAGCTTTTGTTGCAGCAATGATGTCGATCTATCTTGTTGAGAGTCTTTCTAATTTTTGCTTACCCTTTACTTTACCAAGCATGATGTCCTTCTCTAGGGATTGGTCCCTCCTGATACTATGTCCAAAGGACATGCGACACAGTCTGGCCATCATGAATTCTAAGGAGCATTCTGGCAGCATTTCTTCCAAGATATATTTGTTTGTTCTTCTGATAGTCCATGTTATTTCAATATTTATAATTATTGCAAGGGCAGTGAATTATTTAATATGGCTTTTCTAGCCAAAATATCTAACTCCCACCAGAAAACCTTTTCCTGAATGAGGTTGGTAAGAAGGTAAAGGAAGACACTGATAGAATTTACCTGAGTATGTGTGAATAAGATTCCCTAAAGTGCCATGCTGACCTGCTTTCTGGGAAGTAGGATCCAGGATCCCATTGACAGTGAGAACCAGGAGTGTATTTTATCCTCTGGAACCATGATCTCTGCACAATTAACTTCCTGGAACCAGATGACAGCTGTACCAGCAGAGGAGTAGCAGCAGATCCAGCAGTCAGAGCCTGGAACAAAGCAATGAACTTCCCAACCACGGAAGCAAGTTGAATGCTTTTATGTAGGGGGCTGGCTTTCAGAGTGGTGTGCCTCTGGGCACTTAATTCAAGGGGCTGGTTTGCAAACCCATGGGGCTTCAGCTGAATGCTTCCAGGCTGGGACGTCCAGCAGAGCATTATGTCTCTTTTAACATTTATTATTATACTTAAAATTTTGTTACATGTACTGGTAAACAACTATCCTGAGCATTGCTCACTGGCATTCCAACTTGTTAATATCCTTAATAAACCTTTTTAATCATGAATTTTGTCTGTGACTTCTGTGTTCCCATCGCATGGGATTTACAACCCATGGAACTCAAGTAAAAAAGTAAAATGGAGCTTCTTAATTGAAACCATGATAGTTATTCATAATAAAAATCACCAACTTTTCATCAGTCTTTCATATTCTCTGTTGAACTTTTACAGGCATATGAAGTGATTGAAAATAGCATAGCTTGCTTAAGTCACACTTGAGTCTCTAAGTAAGCCTAATTTGGATTACCTAAAGGTCTCATTTCTTACTTTTAAGTCTCATGTTAAGCTGCATTTATATACACACACATACATATATATTACATATATTATACAAAAACTCTATATTTATATATGTGTGTAATTATACGTATATGTGTATCAATCCTATAGGAAAGAATCAAACTACTTCTATGAGTTTCTGAAATTGTAAATCTTTATAGAAGAAGAAAGCCTTTTCGTTCTCCCTCTGAACGGTTGGTGGACTCAAACTGCTGACCTTGTGGTTAGCAGCCAAAGCATCACTCACTATGTGGGCTCCTATTGAACATAGGCTATTTAAGTCTTTTCAGTCAATTCAAAACCTCGCAGCCTACTTTTAATGGTAAAAATTTAGAGCTGATGATGTGTTTGAACCTCCAATCTTGCAGCTAGGAGTCCAACACTAACGCCACTGTGCACTGAGACTGGGTTACAATCATTGTGTCCTGTCAGTAGGATTTGAGTAATTAATCAATAATGATTATATCCAAACCTAACACAGTTCTATGAACTACCCTACAGGGTTTCCCACGCTATAAATCTTTTAAGAAACAGACAGCCACACATTTTCCCCTAGAATGCAGTTAGTGGCTATGAACTACCAACCTTTTGGCTAGCAAGTGTTTAATTACCAGCATTCTTCTAATGTTTGTGTGTGTATATGTATCTGCAAAGTAAAGCTTCATTGTGGGGAAAGTGGGGCTGATCCTTAGCTCATAGAAAGGATAACATAAACCATAAAGGTATTTATAAACACATTCTATGGTATTATTATTTTTTTTTTACACAGCACATTTAAAAAGACATTTATTTAGCGTCATGATCAGACCATTACATTTAGCAATCAACAGCATGGGTGCAAAAAAAAAAAAAAAAAAAAAAAAAACTACATTAAAACCCCTTGTTGGAAGGGCAAGATATGACAAAATACCAATTTATAAACTATCAAGGGCTCATGTGGGAGGGGGGAGCGGGGAGGGAGGGGAAAAATGAGGACCTAATGTCGGGGGTTTAAATGGAGAGAAAATGTTTTGAGAAATGATGTACAAATACGCTTTACACAATTGATGTGTGTATGGATTGGGATAACAGTTGTATGAGCCCCTAATAAAATGTTTAAAAACAAACAAACAAAAAAAAAAAAACCCTTGTTGGAATGCTTTACACTTTCCACAGAACAGAAACTAAAATAACCTGTTATACAATTAGTCACAAATACAGTCCTCAAGTTCTTTTGCCCATACACGAGTATTGTCTAAAACATGTCTTCTTTGTAGCAGCTAGGCCCTGCCACCGCTGTGCTTGGCTGCGTTCACAAATCTATTGTCACCTGTAGCTTCCCTGTCACCTCTCTGGCTCTCCTCTCCTGCTAAGCTTTGTTTCCTGGTAGTCATTTAAAATCTTCTGCCACTGCCATAACTACTGCTACTGTTTGAGCCACCATAGCCACCTTGGTTTCGTGGTTTGGCAAAGTATTGACCTCCACCACCATAAGGACCAGAGCTTCTGCCTCCAAAGTTCCCTCCCTTCATTGGTCCGAAATTGGAAGACTGACCGTTGTAGTTGCCAAAATCATTGTAGCTTCCACCACCTCCAAAGTTGCTGCCATCATTACCAAATCCATTATAACCATCCCCACTACCGCCATATCCACCACCACCGCGGCTGCCACCAAAGCCATCACGGCCGCGGAAGTTTCCGCCCCGACCAAAGTTGTCATTCCCACCAAAACCGCCACCTCGGCCACCACCGAAGTTTCCAGAACCGCTTCGACCTTTTTGGCTGGAGTAGGCACTGGCCATCTCTTGCTTCGACAGGGCTTTTCGTACTTCACAGTTGTGGCCATTCACAGTGTGGTATTTCTGAATGACAATCTTACCTACGGAGTCATGGTCATCAAAAGTCACAAAAGCAAAGCCTCTCTTCTTGCCACTGCCTCGGTCAGTCATGATTTCAATCACTTCAATTTTCCCATATTGCTCAAAATAATCTCGTAGGTGGTGCTCTTCAGTGTCTTCTTTGATGCCACCGACAAAGATCTTTTTCACCGTTAAATGGGCGCCCGGTCTTTGCGAGTCTTCTCGTGAGACAGCCCTCTTTGGTTCCACGACTCTGCCGTCTACCTTGTGTGGCCGAACGCCACGGAGGAAGCATCGTTCGGCCTTTTCTCCCCACCGCCGTCATGTCGAAGTCAGAGTCTCCCAAGGAGCCCGAACAGCTGCGGAAACTCTTTATCGGAGGATTGAGCTTTGAAACAACAGATGCGAGTCTGCGGTGCCATTTTGAGCAATGGGGGACCCTTACGGACTGTGTGGTGATGAGAGATCCAAACACCAAGCGCTCCAGAGGCTTTGGGTTTGTCACCTACTCCACTGTGGAGGAGGTGGACGCAGCCATGAACGCATTCTATGGTATTATTAAAGGGAGAGAGATGGAACTAATTTTGGAAGGCTGGGTTATGAAATGCCATTGGGGATTCAGAAAAGTTCTGTAATAGAAAGACGCTTGGAAAGGAATTTCAATTTCCTCTAATGGCCTTTGTTTATTCACATCTCTACCACTGCCTTTTCAAATCTCTTTAAAATACGGCTTGGGAGGGGGAATAAAAGCCACATTGAAAGAGGCTTCCTAATTCTATCCTTTCATAATTCTGATGCTACAGCTGACCCACCTCAATAGGGTCTTCTTGTTAACATTAATTACCTTGTTATCTGAGAGATGCAGCAGCTTTCCCACGGCTGCTCAGGAGGAGAGCCAGCCAGGCCACAGTTGGAAGGGAATCACCATGATTGTCGAGGGCCTTTGGAAGCCTTCTCAGCTGTCTATTTTCCTTAGCCTCTTGGTGGAGTCACTTGGGTAAGTTTTCTAATTCAGTCTCCCCGTGTCCACTGTCCAGTAAACATATGTTTATACTGTATGTATATAACCAATTATACTGTGGCTAGGGGCAATGTCTCTTCTGGATTCTTCATATGCCAGTGCTTAGAAAACCTGGTGCAGGACTCCTGGTATGCCCTCAGTCAAGAAGTTGGGGAAAAGGTTTTTTCCATTTGGCTACATGTTTGGCTCATTCAGGTGATTGTTTGTGATCAGTGGGGTGAGTACACATTTTGCTTTGTGCTCTCTCTAATATGAACCTTTTCTACTCGGCCAGGACTAGTGTTTATTAGCAAAAAAAAATTAAGATTCAGGACCATTATAAGGATATTAAAGGGAAAACACCCAGTCTATTTACTTAGTTTGATTATTTTGACCGCATCCATTTGTCACTTCAGCTTAAGGCCAGTTTGGCCAATTTGATTAAATTGACTGGTTCTTTCACTGAAGTGACCAGTCAATGCTAACAAATTGGTTATGTATGTAGAAATTCATTAGGCTTTATCTCTTGCATTGTGTCTGCAACAGATACAGAATCAAAAATCTGACACAAACTTGCTTTTAGCACTTATGCCAAGGCGGGTGGAGAAAGGATCATGCCTAGAATTTTATAGATTTGAAATGGGGAAAATAACCATTATTGATTTAGGCTACAAGCTAGCCCCCAGGTACTAATTATTATCAAGGCAATCGTGTTTGTGATTACATTGTACTTTCTTGAGAGGCTTTTTAATAAGCACTTGGTGTTAGTCTCCTTACTCTGAGCACCTGGATAGTCAATTAATGTGTGACCTGGAGGAATGTAATGTCTACAGCAAGTGTCATGCAAATTTTTTCTTGGAAGAGGAAAAACAAATCAAAATAAAAATGCTTTCTTGCCAAGAGGAGCAGTGCTGACCATCAATGTGGTTCTGGTATTCGAATATCATTTATTTCAAACTTCTTGTTTGTTATCTCAAGGGCCACATATCTTCAAGGCTTCTGCATGTCAACTATGCAATTGCTGTAATAATAATATAGTAAAAGAGCCAGTTGTTTTGTACTATCCAGCAAATTCTTGGCATTTTTGTGTCATGACCAGGAGACAGTTTTAGCTATTAGCTACACTCATCACGAAGAATCATTTATGAGAATAAATTAGAGGATGATTCCAGCACTATCTATTGTGCTGTTTTCACTTTCATTTTCAGTGAAATACACTTGTCTCACCGTGTGTTGCCTGGGTCTACCAGGCATGCGCCGAGAGTAGGAAATGCAATGAAAGCCTCCGGGAGAACTCCATGGAGTATCTATTAAAATATCCCTGGTCTCGAATACCTTGGTTAACTTATTCAAGAGGGAAAATGTAATGGGATCGTTTAAGGGGTTTATAGAAATCAGATCATGCTAATAAAACAGGATAGAAATGAGGGCAGAACCAGGGTTCCAGGTAGTGTGAACAACAGGACAATTTCTTAAGCTTATCATGACCCAAACATATCCATTACAAGCTTCATCCAGTGTTCTTCAACTTTGATTAACCATACCATAAGAACATACCCAGTAGAAAAAATAATTCCCCAGCACAATATTGGAGTGGTTATGAGAGGAAATAGATGTTGTGTAGGAAATATGACAAATATTCTCCACATGTGACAATGGGTAGTTACTGAAGTAAGAGTGGAAAGTTTCCGTGTCATTGATCTCTAAATGGAGCCTGAGATCTCTTCTGTCCATGTACGAAAAGAATGCTTGGAAGCTGATTGTGGTAACAGTCAGTGTTCACTTGTCACAGAAACAGTTATTATTTATCACAGAAATGAAAGAAAACACCATAATGAGAGTTGACTATCATGTACTATTGTCTACAGGCAAGCCATGTTAGCCTTTCTATTTTAACAATGAATGACATATTTAATTTTTTTTAAGTTAATGTAGACTGCTTAAGTGAGGTTTTTATAAGTTTTATTTATTGCCATGTTCACTAATATTAGAAGAATTCCTGATATATCTGTTTAATTTCAGTATCATTTATAATATGCAACCCCTTTATAAATAATGTTTCCTTAGCACTTACATGTGTGTGTGACCTCCTCCCTGGGGGACAGACAACCGAAAAGTGGGTGAAGGGAGACGTCGGACAGGGCAAGATATGACAAAATACCCATTTATAAACTATCAAGGGCTCATGAGGGAGGGGGAGCGGGGAGGGAGGGGAAAAATGAGGACCTAATGTCGGGGGTTTAAGTGGCGAGAAAATGTTTTGAGAAACGATGTACAAATGCGCTTTACACAATTGATGTGTGTATGGATTGGGATAACAGTTGTATGAGCTCCTAATAAAATGTTTAAAAAAATAAAAATAATTAAGGAGATATTACCTATATATAATAAAAGGATACTTTAATTGAATTTTAAAATTTTCGACAATCTTTGACCTCAGGAGAGTAACCCCAATACTCAGAGCACTGGTTCTTGGAGACTCCAGCCTTATCAAGTTTAGACTAGGAAGTAGGAGCATGACAATTCTGCCTTTCACCTATGAAAGCACAATTGTTCATGCAATTGAATATTTCAATTTTTGTATAGAGAATCATACATGTAAGAACTGATACTGTCTGAACATTTCATTTGATAGCCTCTGTCTCTTGAAATTTGAATATTTTATCTCACAGACAAGAAAAAAAATCGGAGCAGAATCTACCTTAGAGAAGGAACAGATTCTTCATTGGCAACTTTCAATGTACCTAATAGATTTACAAACAAAATTTCAATTCCCAATGAAACTTCCAAGCATGTTAGCATGATGGCGGTATCAGTTGGCAGTGATATTTAATAGGGGGAAAGTCAGTAGGAAGATGAGGCGAGTTGGTGAAAAGTTAAAAAAAAAAAAAAAAGACTCCAGAATTTGGCTTAGGCTGCCAGGTAGACTGTGTGAATCATAACAAATTAGGGAAAGTCTTGAGAAGAACGGGAATTAACCTGTGGTTAATTATAGGTGGCTGTGAGCATGGGACAAGGGAATACTGCAGGGCTTAAAGGCAGGAAAGCTGTGTGTCAGGCTTGTATCTCTCATGATTGTTATTCAATCTGCATGCTGAGCAAATAATCTCTGATGCTGGATAATATGGAGAAGAATTCAGCATCAGAATCCAAGGACAGGTTTTAGTAATTTGTGATGTGCAGATGACACAACCCGGCTTGCTGGATGTGAGGAGGACTTTCAGCACTTGCTCATGAAGATCAAGAATTGTCGCCTTCAGCATGGATTACAATTCAATATAAAGACAACCAAAATCCTACAACATGACCAATAGGTAACACCATGCAAAGGTTGAAATTGTCAAGGATGTCACCTTGCTTGAATACATAATCCATGTTCTTGGAAGCAGCAGTCAAAGATCAAAGGACATATTGCACTGGGTAAATCTGCTGCACAAGCCCACTTTGAAGTGTTGGAAAGCAAGGGTGTTACCTTGAGAACTAAGGTGCACCTGACCCAAGCCATGTGTGATGGTCCGGGATAATGCGGGCTGGACACTCCTGGGTAGGGGAAAATGTCAACCTATACATTCGGTCTCAGCCTGATGGTACCTCCTTAGTGTCCTTGGTGTCAGAAGTCTGTTTGTAGAGGAGTGAGAGAAACGGACGTTTCCCTTCCTGCTGGCTGGGGCTTTGTTTGTCTCTGGCAAGCCTCATGGGGGCCACCTGACCCTGGGAGTTGTTGGTGTCCCACTGCCACATTTCCACCAACCTTGGACTGATGCAACTCTGAAGCCACTGGCCTGTGACCTTCGTTTATCATTCTTCACTTTTCTGTGTTGTTGGCCTCAGCTACCGGGGTCCGAGGACATCCCACTTGAGGGAGGGTAGTAAGGGGGAGCCCCAGGGCTCCTCCCCAGAGTGGAGGAAGTGGTGGAACAAAGATGCAGTCAAGCCACAAGAGGAGGGAAGCCCAGATGTTGCTTGGTCTACTCAGATCAGAGTCAAGTTTTGGTGTTTGTTCCCCTCCATCCAGCCTGATCTCCCAAATCTGTGTCTCCTAAGCAGTTTGACTGCATCTGCATGTTGATAAGCTTGCCTCTTCAACCCCACTGACACATGCTCACCCCTCAGGCTTGCAAGCAAAAGCAGGAGTCTTCTTGGTAGATGCATTTTTCCCTCCTTCCCTTTCTCCTCAGGACCCCAAGGCTAAGGGGGTTCCCTCCACTTCCCTCTTTGCCACTTTGGTTTCCTAAAATATGTATATATTGTGTGCATCTTCATCATTATAAATAATTATTACCTTTTTTGTTTCTGTACCTGGAGTGCCAGA